CACGTGGTTGCAGGCGACGCGCGTACAGGTGCGTAATCAGGATAGCCTCATGTGCTTCCACGGTCTGCAACACGTTGATCCGGCGCCGGCGCACATCCTGCAACTGGACATGAGCGAGTGTGCAGCTGCGATGGAAGCAGCTGCTTCATTCCTGAACATCGCCGAGGATGAACAGCTCTACGGGCAGCTACAGCCGCACATTAGTGGACACACGGCCACATTGATCTTTCTGCTGATTGTGCTCAGCATGATCCTGCTGGGTCTGCTGGTGGCCCTCGTCTATGTCAGTCGCGACAAATTGAAGTTCATGATGACGCCGGTGTTCGATAATGTGGCCAAGAAAGTACAGTATACGTCGATTAAGGATGAGGATTGCCCGGAAGTGCATGTCTAAGCAGTGCCACAAATCCCACCCACACGTCCATATCAAACAGTAGCAACAGAACTAAGTACAGTTACGTTCGTATTTTTTTAAATTTAATTTTTGCCATTCGCATAGCGCCAAACGTGTGCCATTCACAGGGAACGACGTCTAAGAAACTAACCAGCGCATATCCTTTGAGAAGAACCTCTTCAGTTGACTCTACTTAAAACACACTCACAAACATATTGTTTGATAGTACATAAGCGAATTGTTGCATTTAAGGTAATAGTAGAACAACAACAACAACAACAACAACAAAATTGTGGCAAAGCTCGTTACACGCAATTACTAAAATAATGTTAGAGATTTTCTAAGTAGGATTTAAGCGGTCTTGTTATGCATTCTATGATTTCAATCGGCAAGCTGCCAATAATTTCGTAGCCCGTATATGTACATTCACATATACAAATATAAAAACATACTTACCATACATATATTGTAACAAACACGTTAGTGTTATCTGTGATTTAAGTTTAGTAGCTTTACTTTGTTAAAACTCAAGCAAACGAATATTGATGCATATAAAGAACTTCAACCTGTATAACATATGACGTACTTACACATATATATCACTTACACTTATGTTTAAAATACTAATAAATGTTATTAATCATTTGTCAATTGTAATATTCTAATGATTTGTACTTTCATTTTTATGTAATTAACATGCAGTTTTTATAAATAAACTTTAAACATGATTTCGAGTGCCTTAAATACATTTATAGATAGTTACTTCACAACACTAGTGAAAAAAAAACGAATTTATTAATAATAAGGAATTCATATTTTAAACACTAAACAAACACACTGAAAAATAGAATAATAGCTTTATGCAAGTTTTTGCAACTGGCAGAATGAGGCCTTATAAAATCCAGAATCGACTATCCGTCTGTCCGGCCTCTCAGAGACTCGAGAACTCAGCTCCTACTGGCTGCAGAGATCAGATTGTTTCAAATCATCGACACCTTGCTACGCCTCCATTAAATTGATTTAAATAGGGTATCATAATCCTGTTTAGCAACTCCATTATGGGCAGTTATAGATTTGAAAGGATGCAGGACATGACTTTGGGATCGTAGGAAAAAATCTTTTCGGTAATTGCCTGGAAAATAGTGAAAATATGCAAATGGAAATTTGAAATTATAAATTTGAAAAAAAAAGAGACTACATGATAAGGCGCCTATTTTATGTTTACTGATAGATCTCAGCTGACAGAGAAGGTAGATCAACGCTTTTTACAGTGAGTCCCATTTTGGAGATCTATGTACAATATATGTATACAGAACTTACTATGTACAAAACACAATATAAACTATATATTGTCATTGCGAAATAACTGTAAGTTAATTTTCATCAAATCCTGTTTTCAATTGTCGTGTGCGTCAATTTGTCATGTATGACTGACCATATAAATGTGTTTCCTGGCATATTTAAAGAAAACTATATATATGAAATTGCTGATGGTGTTTCTGAACGTATATAATTAAATCAATATTTCATAAAGAGTTCACTTTAATATGTATACCGAAAATATGAATGTTAAATTATCGAAATATAATTTATTATTTAAACAACGTAAATGCGCGCCTTGTGGTCTGCTTATGCAGCCCTGGTGTTCAGTGTTGAGAAACTTACCTAAACTAGTGATAAGAACAGCTGCTTGAACCGAGTGAATCTCGAGCGAAAAAGCCGCGTATGTTTTTATGGTAAGCACTCTGTAAATTGACAATCGAGACAATAACCCAGGCGTTTAGAGTAACGTTATACAATATGCTTTATATCTGGCATCATAAAACTGATAAAAGCACAGCAATTCGGGCACAATTTACATGAGGGCTACTTTGCGTTGTTCAATGTGTGTGTGCGTATGTGTTAGTATAAACAAATTTGCCTTTTTGCGTCGCTTCTATTTTGCTTTTTGTTGTTTCATTATTTCCATTATGCAACGTCACACCAAATCACAGTTCCAGCACAAGTTTTAAATTGAACATCGCACACACTTTAAGCTTTTATAACCGGTACCTTAAGCTTACTTTATAAACACACATGTCTTCACTTCGGATTCTCAGGAATTATCGACGTGTGTGCGCTCTACCTCGCCACACTATCTTTGCTAGCCACCGAAAACAACACACCCACAAGGTGACCGCGTTCAGCAGCAAAAGCATGGAAAAGTTTGATTTACCCAAACGTCTGCAGGGAAGCACGCCCAGCGTGTGGAACGAATATATAGCGCTGGCCATGCAATACAAGCCCTTGAACCTGGGCCAAGGATTTCCCGATGATGCAGCACCAGAGTATGTCACCAACTCGTTGGCGGACATTGCTAAGGACAAGAATCCACTGCTGCATCAGTACACCAGGGGCAATGTACGTGATTTAATGGCCTACTAGTATAGGACTATTTGTAATGTATTTGTGCACGATTCCGAAATCAACTAATGTGTGTAATTATTGTCAGGGTCATGTGCGTTTGGTTCAGGCGCTGTCCAAGCTCTACAGCGGCCTCGTTGGAAAAGAGCTCAATCCGCTAAGCGACATTCTGATTACGTCCGGTGCCTATGAGGCCCTTTACTCCACCATAATGGGCCATGTGGATGAGGGTGAGGAGGTCATCATCATTGAACCCTTCTTTGACTGCTATGAGCCAATGGTCAAAATGGCGAGAGGCGTGCCTCGCTTCATTCCACTAAAATTGGTAAACCTTAGTAATTTTAGGCTTTGTTTTCAAAATCTTTAAATCATCTGATTATTTATGCTAGCGTGAGAAAGACGGTCCCATCAGCTCTGCAGACTGGGTCCTAGACGATGCTGAACTGGAGAAGCTTTTCAATGAGAAAACGAAAATGATCATTTTGAACACCCCACACAACCCAACCGGAAAGGTCTTTCATCGCCAGGAACTGGAACGCATTGCTGAATTATGTCGAAAGTGGAACGTACTCTGTGTTTCCGATGAGGTCTACGAATGGCTGGTCTTCGATGGCGTCGAGCATGTCCGCATTTGCACCCTACCTGGCATGTGGGATCGCACGATTACCATTGGTTCGGCGGGAAAAACGTTTTCGGTGACTGGCTGGAAAATTGGATGGGCCTACGGACCCCACGACTTGATTAGAAACTTGCAAATGGTTCATCAAAACTCTGTTTATACGTGTCCAACGCCATTGCAAGAGGGAGTGGCGCGCAGCTTTGAAGTGGAGTTGGCGCGTCTGGGAAAGCCAGAAAGCTACTTTCTTACCTTGCCGCGTGAGTTGCAGCCAAAAAGGGATTTTATGGCCAAGTTCCTGAGTGATGCAGGCATGCGACCCACAATACCGGAGGGCGGATATTTCATGTTAGCCGATTGGTCGCCACTGGCACAAAAGCTGGACTTGAGTTCAGAGCCAGACAGACATCGGGACTACAAGTTTACGAAGTGGATGACAAAGAACATGGGTCTCCAGGGCATACCACCCAGTGCCTTTTACAGTGAACCCAATAAACACTTGGGAGAGGACTTTGTCCGCTACTGCTTCATTAAAAAGCAGGCTAATCTGGACAAGGCAGCTGAACTGTTGAAGCAGTGGAACTAGAGCGTGTATATATATAGTGCGCATTTAATTTGTTACTCCAATAAACGAATTTGTTTAGAAATATCGCATGAATATGCTGGTACGATTAATCGATTATCATGCATGCTTGAACGTGTACGCAAGAGCATAACCTGCCCATGACACTGTTGCATAACCAAAAAAATCAAAACAAAATGAAGGGGGTTTATGTGTGGTAGCCTTACTCCAATCTCCTTTTTATTTGCAATCCAATAACATGTTCATCCGCACGAAGTACATTGGAATTGTTTGTGTGTGTTTCTTGAATGTGTCAATTAAACTAAAGAAAAACGTTAAAGCAAACGCCGCTTTAGATATCATAAACGGACTTAAGAGCCAATTCGGGCTTGTCGTAACCCAGCTCTTCGATAGTCGGCACACCAAGCTCCTTCAGGGTCGGTGTGATCTTCTCCAGCAAATAGGGATAGAGGGTAGCCTTCTGGTCGCCACATTTGTCCTTGCAGCCCTCTAGCCACCTGATGGCCAGGGCAATGTCGTTGACACGGCGACAGGCGCGCAGTCCAGACTCTATTATCTTTGGGCTGGGCACCAGATCCATACCAAGCAGGTCATTCATGCCCTTACGTATCTCCCAGCCATCAATGCCCTCGCGAGCGAAATATTTCTCGTAACGCTTGTCGAACTCCTCGGCCGATTCCTCGGTGCCGTGGAGGCAGCGCACGGCGGCAATACGCGAAGATGTAACTCCAACGGTGCCGCGCATGGCGTTGGCGAGTTTACCGGCTGTAATGCGCAACATGGCTGTCCAAACAAAAACAATTGAATAGTTTAATTTTTGCAAAATTTTTGTTAAGTAACAGCTCACACTCACTTTTACGCTCTTGCTCTTGATACTTTTCACGCAGATGACAGAACGAGTAGTGTTGAATAGTGTGTCTAATATTAATCGAATGTGTATAGATGTAGGCTGCCAGTGTTAGCTACACAGTGCTGTGCAATGCATTAACTGTCAGTCGATAGGACGAACGTTCTCGAACACTGTGTGACTTACTGAGCAGTCATTCTCATTTGTGCCCGACAATTTGGCTGAAAATCGCATTTTCTGCTGAAAATATACTTGCGAGCAGTGACCGCGGTTTATTAAATTAATATACAGCCAACGCAACAACAATAAAATGTCGACAGCAGGGTAAGTGCAGTAAGAACATGCAGGAATATCGAATTTTAGTTGCCTCAGCTCGGCTGCTCTTTTTGTGGCTTCTTTGTGCGACGCGTGCTTTTGCTGCGGGGGCATCGGCGGCGTCTATTTTCTGAAAAGGGCACATCTTAGAGTACTTATTTCTTGATAGTTGCATGTTCGTATACACTTCTAAAGTGTGTTGCCCCCAGTGATATCGGTGGGCGTGTCCAATGCGCAACTGCATTGTATTTTTGGATAGTGCGCGGTGCCATCAAAGAGTCGCTGACATTTGAGGTTATGTTAAGGTTGGCGCTAATTTTGTTTAAGAGTGTTGCCCCAATGTTATAATTTTCACGGCATGGACTTTTCATGCAAATTAAGCGCCACATTTTTACCTAAGCTTGCACTTTGGATTCATTTCTGGAACCGACTATGCCTTGGTTGCTATGACATCAAGTACCATCGATACGATAAATACAATCAGCGAACCGTTCCCAACCCGCGCTTTAGATGATTGCTTGTTTGTTTATTTAAACAATTCTTTGCTTTCCATTACAGTCCAATTCCGCCACCAGTTTCGTGGGCTCAGCGCAACGACTTGATCTACGTTATTATCGATGTGGAATGCAAGGACATTGAACACAAGTAGGTCTACTCGCTTGAATGAAAAAAAGGAGCACTGTTTCAATTTTGTTTGCTTTTTCCTTTGTTTTCAGAGTGACAGAGAACAGCTTCACTTTCAAGGGTGTAAACGCGCTGGATGCCTCCAAGAAATATGAAGTCACATTGAATTTTTTCCATTCGGTTGATCCGGAGAAGGTGTCAAGTAAGAATATTGGACGCTGCCTTGAATTCACAATACCCAAGAAAGAGAGCGGTCCCTACTGGCCCACGCTGACCACGGATAAGACCAAATTGCATTTCCTGAAAGCCAACTTTGCCAAGTGGCGCGACGAGTCTGACGAAGAAGAAGGTAATTGGTCCGAGCTTCACACCTGGCTGGTCGAAATTCAATATTTTTTTTTGATTTTCAGATCCTAAGGACAACGGCATGTTTGGCAACTTCCTTAATAGCCCGGGCGGCGATTGGAACAACAAGTTTGATGATTTCAATGTCGACGAAGACGACGACTCTGACGATAACATACCGAGCCTGTCGCAGAACGATGAGGATGAGGACGAAGGTGGGGAGGGTGACAAAGAAAAGAAACCAGCCGCTTAAGCAGCTAGCTGTATGGGCATTTTTGGAGTAATAGTCGTAGCGTTAGCCGAGGCCCCTATACCGTTAAGTCACACACACACACATAAACCTGCACACACACACACACCTTCATAAACACTTATTCCAAAACACAAACTTGAGCAGAAAATACGGTATGTTTACGAAAACAGCTGGAAAGGAGCAAGAGATACATTAATTTTACGCTGGATTTTCGCCACAGCAACAACAACAAATGGAAAAAGCTACAACCAATTCATTGCGAAGTTACATTTGCAATTTATTAACTTTTTGTTTCCTGTAAATAAAGGGAATTAAAATAAACTAAAAATCAAAAGGTCAAACTTCTGTTCACTCGCATGTCATTATATGGGCTTACAGTATACACAAATCCCGATAAGTCTACTGTAGTTGTAGATGTCTGGCAACTCTGGCAGCATTGTCGCTTTAGCAACGCGGGCAAGAAGAAGCACGCTTTTAAATTTTGTTGCCCAAACAAAACATGCAAAGTAAAAATAGTCATTCGACAACTGCCACTAGCAGTAAATTCACATTGTATATTAATTATAATCGTACATCAAACAAACAATGGCCGCACAAAGTGGCAGACTTTGTTTTGTAGCCGAATGGTTTCATGTCGAAGCGGGAATAACACGCACTTATCTATTAACATATCATTTGAGCGACAATGCAATCGAAGTGGTAAGTTATTATTGTACATCACAGTCGCTGCAGCCAGCTAAATTATCGTTAACAGTTTGATCAGCGCAGTAAGAGAACCTTTCTGCGCCGCACTAAAATTCCCGAACTTACAACGCGCGATTTCTTTGTGGGCTCCAAGATCAATGTGTTTGGGCGTCCATTCGATATTGTCGACTATGCGGACGAAATAACACGCAACACCTTGGCAAAATACCGCAAGCGGTAAGTCAATTTGATTGGTGTCTATACCTGAGCTGTTCTCTGTAAGCTAACAGCGTCTTACAGCGGGTTTGTGCTGCTCAAGAGTAGCATGTGGCCAAAAAACTTGGGCGAGTTTCTCACCACGCTGATTGAGAACAAGATCAATATTAACAACGCTTTAATGGTTCAGTTTTCGCCAAAAACTGTCACACAGTTCCTGGCCAGCAAGCAGGATGATGATGTGCACACCTCGTGAGTATTCCGAATCCCAAAGCTAATGCACATAATAACCTTAGAAACTGCTTCAAACAGTGTACTGATGAACGAGCTGCTGACAGGACCAGCCATTAGTTTGGAGCTAATAGGTGACAATGTTGCAGAGATCATGTCTGCCTGTTCAAAGTACAACACAGAGAACGCCTCAACGACCATCGTATTGTCGCCTAGCATGCAGCAGCTGTTTGAGCGCGAAGAGGTTCGCTATGGCTTCTATTGCCCGGAACGGGAGGAGAATGTAGCCAAGGACCTAAAGTTTTTCTTCGAGGAACGTCACAGCATTATCAAAGAATGTCGTTTTAAGAACAGCACACTGGCTATTATAAAGCCGCACATCATCAAGGACGGGTATCTGGGCCAAATTTTAAATGAAATACTTACATCTGGCTTCAAGATAACAGCCATGCGTATGCTGCTCATGGCGCGTGTTAATTGTGAAGAGTTCTACGAGGTCTATCGGGGTGTTCTACCTGAATTTATACCTATGGTAGCTCAGCTAGCCAGTGGCGTATGCATGTGCCTGGAAATAACCAGCGAGGATCCTGAGAAGAATTCACATCAGGAGTTTCGCAGTTTTTGCGGTCCAATGGATCCTGAAATTGCCAAACTGCTGCGTCCGCACACGTTGCGCTCCAAATATGGCATCTCCAAGGTATTGAATGGAGTTCACTGCACAGATCTGGCCGATGATACAAATCTGGAGTTACAGTACATGTTCAAGATACTCGAATGATTTCAATCACCATCGTTTTTATGTTTATTTCTTGTCATTCTCCGAGGGTGTATGTGTGTAAATAAATTACAAGTAATTATATTAAAGGACCTATTCGTCTTTCATTCTTTCCGGTGTTCCGTTTATATTGGTATGGTCGAGTTTCCGGCATCTAGCGCTTATCCTTGAAATGACTGTTAAAACTGAAGACACTTGGCAACTAAACTTCTAGACATTTCACACTTTATCGGAACTTGAAACAGTCGTTAGATTTAGCCAAATACAATACGGGAGTACATTAGTTGCAACTACACGCTCCCGCTCCGAATGCTAGAACTAGGCACATTGTCCTGCACATTGGGCAGCAACACAACTAAATCTCTTGCATGAATGTCGCTCTTTCGCTCCTGCAGCCCATAGTCATAGGCCAGCAGGGCAAAGATTATGATGCACACCAGCATAAGCATGGCATAAAAGAAATACTCAGCCTTTTGAGAGCTAAGCGCATTTACTTCGGTAACTAGCACCACAATGAGATTACCAAAGGCATTATTCAAAAACCAGGCGGCAGTGACAACAGATTTCATTGAGGACGGCGCCTGGGTAAATGCAAACTGCAGACCCGGAATGGACAGCAACAATTCCCCCAGCATGAGCAGCAGAAATTGTGGAAGCTGCCAGGCAATGTTGATGCTCTGACTTGGCGATTGCTAAAAGAAACTATTTTAAATAATTTTGAATTAAGAATGAATTATTAACCCACCATAATGCGATCTTGCAGAATGCCGGCACAGAAGAAGGCGCCAGCTGAGCAAATTCCTCCAACGGTGACGCTATGCAGCGGCTGCAACTCCCAGTGGAACAGTCGCCGCAACATTGGAGCGGTCGCGTATTGCCAAAGGGGAATGAGCATAAAGAGAAAGATGGGTCCTACGGCCTTCGCCTGATCCGGCTCAATGGTCACACCCAAAACTGTGGTGTTCATCATAGCCGCCTGAAACGTCCAGCTGGAGTCCTGCTGTGCGAGCAGAGCAAAGTAAACTGGCAGCGGAATGAACAGCTTGCTAATCTATAAAGATAATTTGCTATTACATGAATGGTTGGCAACGAATCCTACTCACGCGCAACACTTTGGACACATCCGTCACAAAATACGCATCGTATAGCCCCACGGCATTGTGCAACCAATAGTTACATCTCTTGGCGGACTTGCGTCGTCGCCACTTCTCCACCAGCGCTGCTTTAATGCAGCCACAGAATTTGAAGAGTATATTATCGCCAGACAATTTCTCCGGCTTGTAGAAGCATTTGCCCATCAGAAAGATGACTGCCAAAAGCGTTATTCACTGATCCGGATGGAAGGATTAGAGCTCACCATGATACTTACCCCAAGCCACCATGAAGGAGCTGCCCAGCGTGCCAAAGACAGCCGGATAGCATGTTGTCTTATCAAAACATTGCGTGTTGGCGCGCACCAGCGGCGGCAGAATTTTGCTCAAAAAGATTCCAAAATAGTAGACAAAGTAATAGAAGGAGAAATACTCTGTCAAATGGACAGATTGCTCGGGTAGCTTAAATTGTAGTGCACCCAGCGAAGTGATGCAGGCGCGTACAGATCCATTCCCCACAGCTATGAAGGAGATCGATACCAGCAAGCTGCAACAAATATATGTACAAATGTTTTTTTTAGCAAGACTCGTAGATTCCCAATATACCCTACTCACAATGCTATGACGGGCAAGCCCATATATGGCACTGATGTCATGGTCAGCAGAATCCAACCAAAGCCATAGAGAAAACAGAATCCCGATATGGTGCGAATATTGCCCATGTAACTGTCCGCCAGTATGGCACCAATAATGGGACAGAACTGTCCAAAAAAGTTAAATATGTGCAGCACAATTGTGGAGAAGCCTTCCGTAAAGTTGAGATCATCGCGCAAAAAGAGCACCAGTATGGCTGGGAAAATGGGAAAATGGATTAATTGCTTTAATTTGGTAAATATTAAATGTTGCATAATGAAAATACAATGAATTTTTATATAAATATACTTCGAGGGGCTATGGAACTTTGCTGGCTTATTGTTTATTTTAATATTTAATATTTATATGCTATTCATTAGTTTCTGTTTTTGAACACAACAAAACATGATTAAAGATTCCAAAATCTTTAATACTTAATATTTCACCATATTTTACATTTCAAATAAAGTTTGAAAACAGTTGAGAAAATATCAATTGTATCCGAAATATGTACGGAAATTGGGTTTATGGAAGAGAATTACACCTTAATTTCATTCGTTCAATCTGTTGAAAAAAAAAACCACCTGTGTAAACAGAATAACATGCGTACACAATATACATATATTTCACATTTGACTCAATTGTTATTAAATTTAATTGCAGAAATTGAGCCACTATAGACCATGATATAGTCCATTAAATGACTGCACTGAAATCTGGGCCATTTTCTATTACTTCCCACAAGCAAAGTATAATAAAATAGTGCCAAAGAGTTACCCTAAACAGCGGGTTACGAGCTACCTTTAAAACCCCTAGTTTCCTTCTACCCACACACAAATGGATTTAGGGTATACAATAAATCGCTCCTATTGAGAGAAGACCTTGTGATCATCCGCATAGGCTATCAATGAGACCTCCCATTGTGCATGCATGCACTTCTGCTGTTACTGATAAGCTTGACTTTCGGAATATTTCGACAATACAATGGAAGATTACTGTAAACGACCTAAGGCAACTGCATTGTGCTGCTATAATGTGGGTCACACATCACAACTTGGACTCACACCATTCGATTTTCACTTACTGCGCATGCCATTTGCTGCAAAGGCCTCAAAGAACTTGGTGGCCAGTATGAAGAAGACGGCTCGTGGATATTTGTACTCAATGCGTATGTTGGATATGGGCGCAAAGCCATAGTTGGGTAACGAGCTGCGTGGTTTTCTTAGCTTCTCGTGCTCCCCAAAATCAGATAATGAACCAACCGTCGTCTGGGTGAGTTCCGCAAGTGCAGGCAAGGCTATGAAGCCCACAGGGAGAGGGAGAGAGAGAGATATAGATAGACAGTTGATAGAATCTCTGTTTATATCTTCCTTATCTTATCGTTGGAAACTTACTTTCTTCGCTGCCGATTTCCGTGGTGCGGAACATTTTCCAGGTGCTTCGGCTGCTGCTCGACGTAAACAAACTCAACAACGTCTCGAGAGTAACTTGTTTGTCTGTTTCTGTTATCTTAGGAGAGCTCAGGTTACTAGCGATGTGTCCGATTCGTTAGCCTTGCGGCTTTTGTGGGTCGGCTGTGGTTTTATGTCTCACAATGTGCTTTGTTTTTTTTTTTTTTGTACGTACACCCACACCGAGGTCCGTTGCGCACTACAGCAGAGCAGCTACTAAGCGACAAGATCGAGAGCCGGCGACTGGCTCAATTCGTAGACAGCGTGAACTCAAGAGCAAACATTGCGATATAAGCAATAACAGAGTAATTGCATCTTGAGCCTACAAAACGAATGCGACAGGTTATCTCTGTCTTTGCGAGTCATGTGCCTGTCCGTTGCAGTGATAAGCGAAGCCGCGCTCAGTCAACTAAAGCGAGTCACGGGACTAGCCCTGTGATAAGGATGCTGCAGCCACATTCAGTCACATTTCTTATTTTACAATGGATTTTTATTAAATTAGGCAGAAAAGTATTTAGCTCGGCATACGAAACCAACTAGACAATTAAAACTAAACACGGATCTGGATGATACATCGATGAAATTCGCATTTGCAATTTGGTTGCATACAGATCGAGATGAAGGCCAACAACCAACAACCATTGACATCTTGTGGTGTGCACTTCAACTCACACCAGCTTTTTAGCCTCGAAGAAACTCTTAAGATGACGCATCTGCCAGAAGCCCATGCAGACCAGGACCACAGTCTGTGCCAGCGACCACCACAGCACACGCGAATTGGTGCTTTCGCTTGTGTGACGGAAACGCTCCTCCCGATAGCGCTGATAATTCTGCTCCTTTGTAATCTGTTCGACCTGGTCGAGCAGCTGACGTATGCGCAACTGCAGCTCGGTGAGTTTCTCCTTCTGCGCCACATTAGCATAGTCGATGGCATGCTCGCCCACCTGAATATCTAGATGCACGCGAAGCTGGGCGCCATTGAACCAGGCGGTGCTGTTGGAATACATGCAGATGACATGCTCGCCGGGTGTGTGAGATGTAAACGACATGCGGCCCTGCGAACTGTAAACGCGCGACAGAATCACCTTATCATCACTGTCGCGCACCTCTACATGCATGCCAATGCCGGGCGATGATGGCATAAAGCCATTTGAACGCGGATCATACAGCTCCACCTTGTAATTAACTGCAAGAGAAAACAGGTGTCAGATCTTTAGCCAGCAGCCAACGACGCTGCTTACCAATCACAGTTGTCTCATCGGGCACCTCTTCAATGAAGCATTTGCGCTCTGTTTCCGATATGTGAAAGTATAATCCGCAGGCGCTGTGTAGCGTGCATAGCACCAGGGCCAGGCAAATAAATTGGTTGCGCATGTTTTTGAAGAAATTCCACTCGAACTTCGATTATTTGTATTATAACAACTAGGCTCGCCGACACGTCATGAGAAAAAGGCAAAGTGGCTACATTGACAAGTTTCCATTTGACAGCGAGAGAGCTGCCACTTGGCAGTCATAAGCCACATACACTCCCATACAAACAGCAATCAAGGTCAGACCCATCTGGCAACGCTGGCAAAACAGCTGAGCGATTTGTTGACGTTTTACATTTTGGCATTTATAGTGCAATTTTAAACAGATAATGGACCTGATATTACTCGTTGGTATTGCAACAGCGCTGCTGCTTATCCTGATTACGCTTTATTTCCTGCAGAGTAAAAATGCTAAGACAGGTAAGACATAAGAAAATTTTCCATTTTACATATCTTGCAACAATCCACTTTCCAATTAGAAACAAAGGCAGCTGCGCAACCTCAACGTGGCGTCCCACAGCGTGCTCAGGAAGGCGTTCCGCGACGTGCCCAAATAGCGCGGAATCAGCGCAATCGATTACGTCAGAATCAAAATGCTCCTGCTGTTGCAGCTGCAGCTGCCCCCGCCGCAGCCGTAGACTCTGATGACGACGAAGCAGCTGCTGCTGGTGACGAGAATGGGCCGCGTGTGCCACAGGGCGCTGTGCTGGATGAAAAGATGGGCGCTAAGAAACGCGCCAAAATGGAGGCGAAGGAGCAGAAACGTCTACAGCGCGAGCAAGAGCTGCACGATCGCGAGCAACGAAAGGTGAAGGAGGCCAAAGAAGATGCGGAACGAAAGCAACAGGAGGACCTCGATGCGGAAGTAGAGCGCAAAAAAGCCGAGGCTGATCGCTTGGCCAAGGAAGAGCGCGAGCGCAAAGAGCACGAGGAGTACCTAAAAATGAAAGCAGCATTTAGCATCGAAGAAGAGGGCTTCGAAGAAGGCGATGCCGATGATAAGGAGAGCCTTCTAGCCGACTTCATACAGTACATTAAGGATAACAAAGTCGTTCTATTAGAAGATTTGGCCACAGCCTTCAAACTGAAAACGCAGCAGGCCATCGATCGCATTCAGGAGCTGCAGGAAAATGGCACCTTAACTGGCGTCATCGATGATCGCGGCAAATTTATCTACGTCTCGGAAGCGGAACTCGCCGCCGTGGCCAAGTTCATCAAGCAGCGCGGTCGTGTATCCATTGCGGAGCTGGCGGAGAGCAGTAATAACTTGATCAATCTAACGCCTGTTGCAGCTGGCGAAAGTAGTGCCTAATGAGATTTGTTAACCATTACCTAAATAGTTGAAGTGTATATATAAATATATATATAACCGTAAGAGCTAAGATTCTAAACTTTTTACTTTATAGGCAGTAAAAGTGGATACCATATCGTGCTTTTGGAAAATCATGAAATTTGATTGTGGCGTATTTCTAGTCATAGCATTATTCGAAAAACTAAATGTAAATGCACGTATGAGTTATAAAAATCGAGACTAACACCTTAAACAGCATACAAAGTGCATACTTTTGTGAGCAAAATTTTTATAAAATATCAACTCCGATTGCAATATTTTTTGCTGAAAACCTCAAAAGCAGTTAAAGGGCGACCATGTTATTTTTAAAATTTGAGCCAATGTCGCCAATTCAGTCTAGCCATCCGTCCAGGTTATAAATACTTAAAACTTACAATATTAAAATCTACAATTGCGGTTTTTTGAGTACATTTCTAAGGATTTAAGAGCTAGACTTACCAAATTGGACATTGTTTTAGTATAGCGTATGAGAAGTGATCGCATATATACAAATTATATACTAGCGGGTATTAAAGCTTGAAGCTGTAGATAAAAAACTTCCGTTCATTAAACCTTTGAGCTGAATTCTCTCTAAGATCTTTAAAAATGGATTTGATCAGTCGGTAAACAGAAAACTTTTTTTCGGTAAATAAATAAAACTTCCATCAAAAACAGAAATGTATAGAGTATGCATTTCTGTATACATATGCACAAACACTTTTATATATATTACAAATGCGCATTAATGGCATGCTGTTCGGTGTGTCTGTTAAATTAAAAATAATAATCTTTATCCGCTAAATAGTTAATAGTGTATTATGGGCTTTAGCTTGGCTAAAGCTGGAGCAACCGCGTGCTCTCTTTGGTTTTGGTAGAAGTTGGTCACTCCCAACTACAGCACTAGTTGTTGTTTATCTCTGTAACTATGTGTTGACAGATGTGTTAATCTCGGTTTTATTGGGCAACATCATCGGATCGGTGATACGCAGCGAATTCTCCAAGCCCCCAACACCCTCACCACTCGGCCGCAGTGCCAGATAAAGCAATATATCTGAGATCGAAATGATGCCAATCACCTTGCACTGATCATCGACAATGACCAGTCGATTCACCTCGGCGCACACAATGCGCTCCATGATCGTGTACAGCGACTCGTCCAGATTGCACTTTTGGTCGTCATAGAACCACTCATTGCGATTCTCGTTCGGTTTGCGCAGCGAGACATCAAGATCGCTATAGATCTTCGCAGTAGCGGGATTCTGTAACGGATATAAGCTAAAGTTAATCAGTTTGTGGGACTAATTGGTCATTTGCAGGTTACACTTACAATCAAATCAAACTTAGCAAAAATGTCGAGTAGCCCCACGGATTCGATCTTGCTACGTGTTTTCTCGTCGGCGATCTCGATGTTGTCATATGTGCCGATCTTCAGATCGCGCAAACTCTTCTCCATATATGCGGGCTGTGGCATCGCGTTAATCTGCAAGAAAACAGAATATCAGTATATAATATAACGTGCACAATTAAATCTGCCAGTTAGTGTCTTATCGAGTATAATTGTCTTTACTAACCCCATCAGTAAATGTCTTAGCTATTAATTTCCTTCTTAGTCACGAGATGTGCAATGGAGTACACATTGGGAATATTTCAAGTTCTGAATACGCCTCTTAATTTCCTCAGAAGGTAATCGTTTTTATCCTCTTAAATCTAAATAAGGGCAAGCTAAATGTTTACTTGTATCTATATTCTATATTCTATAATCTATATTCGATTTGATTCTGATTTTAAGAAAAGTTTTCATGAACGCGAACCCTACCTACCTCATTTGTGTATGATTTGTACTCACATACAAAAGCATGAGTGTCAGTATGCTTTTTTCTGTCAAAATGTGCAAAACATCGCCATTCTCTGGATTGATCACAGGCAGTCGTTGAATGCTGCTGTCCCTGAGAACTTTGATTGCCTCGAATAGGGAAGCTTCCGGTCCTATGGTGATCATGGGCATTTCCTGGTTGTATAGCTCCCCTAAAAAGCAAACTAAGTTTATTTGGACGCCGAATATTTATAAAATAATACAGACTGCACTTTGTGTCCAGTTTTTGATTATCCAGCTCGTCCATGGCCGCATTGAGTGACTTATAATACATTTGCAAGACCTTGAAAAAGTCTGTGATGGTCAGCGCGCCCACAAACTGTTGTTTCTCCGGTTTCCAGAGCCGGGCCGCACGCATACCATTACCGACAAGGAAGGCCAGGAGCAAAGACTGTGCAAGCGAACACCACAAGATTATCGAATTGGTGTTCTGACATGTGTGACGAAAATGCTCCTCCCGATATCGATCATAATTCTGCTCCTTTGTTACCTGTTCAGCCTGGTTGAGCAGCTGGAGTATGCGCAACTCCATATTGGCTAGCTTCTCTTTTAGTGCCAAATTAGCATAGTCGATGGCATGCTCGCCCACCTGAATATCTAGATGCACGCGAAACTGGGCACCATTGATCCCGGCGGTGTTGTTGGTAGACATGCAGATAACATGCTCGCCGGGTGTGTGCGATGTAATCCACAAGCGAGCCTGCGAGCTGTAAACGCGCGACAGAATCACCTTATCATCACTGTCGCGCACCTCTACATGCATGCCAATGCCGGGCGATGATGGCATAAAGCCATTTGAATGCGGATCATACAGCTCCACCTTGTAATTAACTGCAAGAGAAAACAGGTGTCAGACCCTTTAGTCAGCAGGCAACGACGCTGCTTACCAATCACAGTTGTCTCATCGGGCACCTCTTCAATGAAGCATTTGCGCTCCGTTTCCGATATGTGAAAGTATAATCCGCAGGCGCTGTGTAGCGTGCATAGCACCAGGGCTAGGCAGATTAATTCGTTGCGCATATTTTTAAAGAAATATTACTCGAACATGGACTCTATTATGATATAACTAATTGAATCAAATATTACACGTTGCAGCCCAATTGGAAAACTGCAATTTCGCAATATTCTTATGACGCAAATATGTTGCCTGGAGCAGCGTTACCATATCGTCGAAAACTCCTAAGTCCGTCTGATTTATTGGCAGCTCGATGCATATTTTTTGCAATTACTTGTATATATCTTCAAAACAAGGGGTTATTCCGACAAAAAAAAAGTATCTGACTGTTAAATGTATTAACTTAAGCGCTATATTTGCAAATTCAACAAATCTGTAGGTTCGTACAATTCCAATCAGAAAGAATGAGTGTTGTCTAACCAGAGTAATGTGCCCAAATCATGATTCACTTTTTTTGAGAATACGCGAAACGTCATATTTCGATCAAATTTCCAGGCGATTATTTAAAGGGATGCCCACAATATTCAATATATCAAGACATAATTAATAATGCTGAAAAAGATTTCTTTCTTGATATTTTCTCCGTTGATTAACCTGGGAGCCTGGTGCTCTGTTTCTATCATTTTGCAGTGTACCCCTGATTTTGAATCTACCTTCAAATAATAGTAGAATTATTTTTGGCGTAAAGTTTGCTCGTAATTAAAAACTACCCAATTAGAGGGTATAACATGTACAGCTTAAGTAAGGAGTCAACTTATTCCATATTATCTTCTTCGCAGTCGTCCATGTCTTCGTCGTCGTCCTCCTCCTCATCACTGGTAATATCTGGATCTGAAGCTTGTGCTCTGCACTTGGGACACTGACAAACGAATATATAATTTTCACGCAACGTTTTATGCCTGGAATGGCGACTGCGCTCCAGCTGGCAGTCATCCAAATACGATATGCATATCTCATCGCCTTTCTGTATGGGCGCCAAAGCCTTTAGTACGACTATGTCGTTGGAGTAGGGAAACGTGGACTGTGCATTCGGAACACAGCTGTGATTTATCTTGCTCTGCAGTATGTACAAACCGGAGCCCTCGTTGTTGAGGAATTCACCTGCAACTGTTTTAATATGGGGACTTAATAAGCTGGTAATAAAATAATAAGAAATGCAACTTACAATCGCCCACTTTGGCGTACAGTTGGTCGATGACCTTATCAAGACTTTCCTTGTCCGCATCGGAAAGCGGCAAGTCTGATACTTTGTTTACCCACTGGGCTAGAACGCTGGTGGCAATGCCCTGACTATTCGTGCCCAATATGCCCATTAGAGTCTTGAACGCATCCGGTGTGGTGAACTGTGAATTAGAGTGAACATCTTTAAGCTGAATGAAACGCAAGCTTTAGGCGGCACTTGCCATAGCGAATTCTTCGTCCTTGAATGCATTGCAAAATGCCGCATACAGTTGCTCCATCTGCTGCTCAAAATTCTCGCCCAGCATCTTGTGGTAGATCTTCTCTTCGCGATTGACAATCAGAGCTTGAAACGATTGCAGTTGCTCTAGGAACTCTGTCTTATTACTGCTCTGCTTATACATGGCCATCAGACGCACAATTAGCATTATCGTGCCCGTCTCTGGTGGATAGTGCATCTTTTTCCATGTCTCATTCAGCACGTTGATGGGGTGTGTGTCGTCCGCCCGAAAGGCGCCCATACAGGCCACACGATGATAGCGCTTTTGTGCCTCTACCAAACAGTCTTCCGAGCAGTAGCGCACCTTGCAGCGTGCACACTGCGTAAATTGTGAAAACCAGGCAGCGGTGGGATCGTGTTCCACTAGGGGCACCATGACTGCCTGGTTATTGGCCAAACGGCGCACGTTCTCGAGCAGTGTCTCTAGCTGAAAGTAATCTGGAATGAGTGAAGCGTCTGTCAGTTGAAATTCGTACATACCGGTCGCATACAATGATCACAGGCTGCGTAGCCGTAGGCGATATTCCAGGAGAACTGATGTGACACGAACGGCTCCTCCTCGAAAATGATCTCATCGACTGCGAAATTTTTTGTTGCTATCATGGCACGACCCTTGCCGGGCAGCTCCCGTATTTCAAAATAATTCATGTTGTTGACAAACACAATTGCATTTCGGCATAAAGACAGCCAGTTAAATGCTCTTTGAATATGCACGTGCGAGTTGGTTTGTTGATTTTATATCGATACCGATAATATTTAAGCGCTTGATATGGCAATATTGTTGCAATAGTTGTATGTGCATAAGGTAATAGTTATCGATACTGTTGTGAAATTCGTTTTCTATTTGAAATGAATTTATTAAGCAATAATAAGTAGCAAAACGCATTAACGAAAATTGTGCACACATTTTTAATTTGTTTTTTTTTTTTTACTTCTTTGGCTGCTTGTGACTATTGCGCCTCAATTTTCGTTAGTCAGTGATGGGCTCCTTATTTGCTATCGCAGACTATCGATATTTGTATAAGAATACCGCCAAGTAGCCGCCACACGTATCAATTTCAAAAGTCGTATGACTATCCCCGTGTTTACTAGCTTTATTAATCTGTAATGTTGCTTGTATATATAGGATAATGCTGAGCACGGTGTCAAACAAAGCAGAAACACAAATATAATTAATTATAACTGAATAGAGGTGAATGAGGAAATTCAATATATATTGTAGGTTGGCAAATTAATAAGATTTTTTATTTGTTAATTCGCGATGCCGATAATGTGCTTGTTAATGGAACCTTGACATAATGTTTGAATACGAATCAAAGAGTTTTGTCTGTAATGCCTTATTACCATATTTTTCCAAATGTTTAAGTTAATTGCGAAGTTAAGAGTAGCTCTCTAAAATGAAAACCCGTTCAAAACTTAACGCTTATTTGTTCCTTTACGGATTTGAAAGGAAAACACCTCTTAGTATCCTTTTAGTCCAAACATATTAAATAGAAACAACTGTTCTTTTATGACTTGTACTAAACTATTATAATAATAATCAATTACATAATTTAAAATTTTAAGACATGCTAATGTAATTTGTTGATTTTGTTTTTTTTTTTGTGTGTTTTTAAATATAATATATATATAAACATTTTTGTTAACAGGTGTGTATGTGTGTGGTTGGTTGGGTTGTTGTTGTGTTTTTAGTTGCTTGTTGTAAAATACATAATCATAATAATAGTTTATAATTGTAATCATATTTTCTCTCATATATCATAACTTTTGCGCCTAACAACTAATAATATTCAAATATAATTGTTTTTCTTCTCTGAATATATGTTTTTATTGTTTATTTCCTTTTTGCTTGCTCACTTTGTGTTTGTTTTTTGGGTTTGTTTGTTTGTTGTTTAAATTAACAGTTTATTCACTAACCAGCGCCATTTCGCGCGCCGTAGGCGTGGCCAGCGTCTGGCCGAGCGCCGAGGCCGCGGAAACGGCGCTGCTTAGCCCATTCTCCTCATCCTCATTCTCTTTGTCTGTTCGCGCTGCCGCAGAAATTGCGACAGCGGCTGCCTTTTTGCGCTCCACTTCACGATCCTGATGCAAATCATCCTCTTCAACATCATCATCGTCGTCATCATCATCATTGCCGCCAACATCATTGTCGGCTTGCTCATGCGCCTCATCGGCAAAGGACACTTCGGCTGGACTGTTATTGCTATCACCATTGGTCGTCGCCGTTGACGCCGCCGCCAGCTCATGCTGATTATTATTGTTGGCTTTGTCTTCACTGGCGGATTTATTATTATCACTATCAGCATCGCTCTTCGGCGCCGGCGTAGGCGCACTCGCTGCGGTTGCCTCCTCCTCGGGTATGTCCTCGATCAGGCTGCGATTGCCGGAGCTGGCAGCCGATGGACTGCGCGGCGGCGCTGTCTCTGCTGACTCTACCTCGACTGCTTTGCGCAACAGCACGGGATCGGAGGCACGCAGTGAACTCTCTGAGCCGCCAACACCCTCGCCGCTCGGCCGCAGCACCAGATAAAGCAATATGTCTGAGAGCGAAATGATGCCAATCACCTTGCGCTGATCATCGACAACGACCAGGCGATGCACCTCGGCGCGAACAATTCGCTCCATGATCGTGTACAGCGACTCATCCAAGTTGCACTTTTGGACGCCCTCGAACCACTCGTTGCGATGCTCGTTCGCCTTGCGCAGCGAGACATCGAGATCGTTGTAGGTCTTCTCGGCAGCGAGATTCTGTTAAAGGATTAAGACACAGGTAAATCAATATGCTGGACTACTCTATGGATCAAATGCAGTTTTCACTCACAATCACATCAAACTTGGCATAAATGTCAACGAGTCGTCCCTCGGAATCGACCAGCGGCAGAGCCGAAACGCGGCGCTCCACGAACTTCTTGAGCGCTGTGATGATGCTGGTGTTCTCATCGGCGGTCTCGATGTTGTCGTAGGTGCCAATCTTCAGATCGCGCAAGCTTTTCTCCATATATGCGGGCTTTGGTAATGCATTAATCTGCAAGCGAGTGGAATAATGCAATAATGAGTATGCAATATGATTTCGATATTTTTGTTAATGGCTTGTACTCACATATAAAAACAGGAACCTCAGTATGCGTTTATGTGTCAATATGTACAAAACATTGCCATTCTCTGGATTGATCACAGGCAGTCGATGAATGCGGCTGTGTATGAGAATTTTGATGGCATCGTAAAGGGAAGCGTCCGGTCCGATGCTGACCAAGGGCATCACCTGGTTATGTAGCACACCTGAAAATCAATAAATCAAGCAAAGTTAATCAATATACTCAATGAACAGATATATATATATATACATATATATATATTTAAATATAATACTGACTGCGCCACGTGTCCAGTTTGTGCTCCTCCAGCTGTTCCATGGACGCATTGGGTGACTTATAATACATTTGCAAGATCTTGATAAAGTCTGTGATGGTCAGCATGCCCACAAACTGTTGCTTCTCTGAATCCCAGAGCGGGGCCGCACGAACACCATTATAGACCAGAGCATAGAATGCCTTCTTCACCAGCAGCTGAGTGTCGAAGACGACCAGTTTTGCGGAGGTGGGTATCAGATCGTAACTCTTGTGGAAACGAAAGAACTTGACAAAGATCTGTGAGTCGTCCTCCTCTGAAAATGATAAAAGAGAGCACAGTGTAAGAAATGGCTTGAGATTTGATTTAACTCTCAATGAAATATCTCAAATTTAGCTATAACAACCCTGCACCTTCTTTGAGCAGTTGGGCAAGCAGACGCTTCCAACCGTCGGAGATTTGCTCAAACTCCTTGATGCTCTCCAGTGGATAGTAGAGCACATCGGTGGGTCGACCGCTGCCGCCGAGCACCAAGCGGCCCGCATGATTCGAGTAAAAATGCAGCTGTAACATGCGGGGAGCGGTGCTGCGCGGTCTAGCGGGTGGCTTTAGATGAGCCACAGCGAGGCACCATCAGCTCAATGGAGGCTGTCAATTAACTGGAGCACACACAATCGAATTGATTTCACAGCGCTAATTGAATGTTCAATTTGCCGTTTAACAGCAGCCTAACAGAGGCTTTACAGAGACGCACCGTTCCACGCGCTTCTCACTGTTACCGTCTCGTAAGCACGTTAAACAAATGACAAATGCACCGAAAATAAAATATTAAATATTTATTTTCAGTTGTTATTCTATTTGTTATTCAGTTTAGCAACAACGACGACAACTGCTTGCTGTTATATCTATGTGCGCGAAAGCTAGCGATAAATTTGCTTTTGGTCTGCATTTCAATAAATTACATTTAGACATTTTAATTAACATTAATTTAGCGTAGAAATAAAAGTGTGTGGCAAGAACGAGCAACAGCCAAAAACAAATTGACGAGCGCAAGAATAGCTTCTACAATTTTTGCAGCTACAAAATGCTCTTAATCAAAACATTTTCTACGACCATTTCACGCAATTACCGCTAGTAGAGAGGCCCCTTAAAAGGGGCGACGTACGTGCTCTATGTATACGAATAAACGTTGAGGCGTTTCATAGGGTGTTTATCAAATAAATTGATGTCATCTATAGTAGAATATTCAAAAGCCCCTCCGCCATCAACTGTCATCGGCTGATAAATTGCAGAACCCGAATCTGAACAAAATATTATGCATTGTCTGGGTATTCGGAGCGCCTCTTTAACAAAATTTAGGTAAATATTTGTGCCAAGAAATTAATTAGCCCGCGCAAACACTACTAACCCCTCTGTTTCTGACACGCGCGCTCAACATATCCCAGAAAATAGCTGAAGATGTACAAGTATGCGATATTAAAATTAATATATTTATGGCAAGTGCCTTTGACTTTGAGCCGATGGAGAAGGAGGAAAACTATTTGGCAATTCGGATAATTTAGATATTTGGACATCCAAATGGATCAACGTCAAGCCCCAAGGGGCTTCAGTACATGAGAATATGGTAGAAGCAACAATTGAAAAATCACGTTCAAGCAATGCCATCGATAATTCTATATTTTGCTTTTGTAACGATTATCTATATTTAATCATTTTTGATCAATTTCGAAATATAATTCCATTCTATACTTGATTCAATTCTTACAAGTTAAAGTTCTTTGGTCAACTGCAAAGTTGCATGCGATTAAGAAATGCAGATTATTGCTTGCCCGTATTTTGAATTTGATTTTTTAAATTCATATATTTGCCTTTTCATCTCGCACAGATATTTGTTTTTTTAACAAATTATGCGCTGTCCGCGTTGACAAAGCTGCCAAAAAGAGAGCAGAGGCGAAAGCGAAATCTAAATAAAAAGCGAAGGTTGCTCGAGTTTAACGAAATACAATCTTAAATATATCTATGCCCGAAATATGTTTCGATTTTTAAATGGAGCCTTTGAAAATGTTGAATGAATTTTGTTTTAAGTTTGTTTGTTGCCAGGGCAAAGCGTTAAATGCAAAAACTATGATAAAAAAACGAACAATATAAAAAAAGGCAGATAGAAAAAGGTGAAGGCTGTTCCCATCGCATTGTGTGTGCGAGTGTGTGCGCGTGTGTGTGTGTGTAGGGGGGGGGGGGGGGTGGAAGGGGTGTTTGTATGCCATCTAGCTATATATCTCTTTGGGTATTATCGCTTGAGCATTTGTTGTTTGTTGTTGCTGTTCTGATTGATTTTTTCTTATTTTTTTTTTTTTTTTGTATATCGTTTTTTTTTTTATATTTCTTTTTGCTTTAGCGCGTCGCGCACAAGTTAATTAAAATGCTTTGAGTTCTTTTTCATTATTCATTGTTGTTTTTGTTGCATTTTTTTTTGTTAAACAATTGCAAAACAATTTCAATTGTGGCTGCTGCTGCTGCTGCTGTGGGCTGGCGTCGCGGCGCCTCAATGAATATATAGACGAATATTCGTATTCGTCTGAGCGATTTCTTTCTTTTAAATTCTTCAACAATGACTAACGTCTTTAAGAAGGTGAGCTAGCGAGGGCGGGGGCGTGGGCGGGTGTCGGCCTTCGACCTTTAACTGCACTTTCGATTGCCCGATCGTTAGTTAATGTCGAACATTTCGATATATTTGATATATTCTATTAACAGTTAGTATATATTGTGTTCTTTTTTCTTTTAAAGCGCGGCGCTTTGCTTGTTTATTTGTCGCCCGTCCAAACGTCTCGGGATTTTATCATAAACTGATTCTACAGTCTGTTGCTGTTTTTGTATATTTCGCTTTTCCCACTGGTCGGAAAAGCGAAAACTTTTTTGCGCATAGCGCAAAACAAAACAACACAAAAACAAGAAAGACTTTTTTTTTTAGCTGAGCGAGCAGCCGAACATTAAATACCCTAGCAGAGATTTGGCTCACTCAGCAAAACAAAAAAAAAAAGAATTATTGTGCTAAAGTACTTTCGGAATGAATAGGAACAATAATAATGATAATAATAAAATACATCATAATACCTAGAACATATAACTATCTGAAAGTTCTTCTCTTGAGAAACTAGTTGTTCTTATCAAGTATAAATACACTTTATGAAATATCTCTGCCCTTTCCATGGCAAAGTGCAAACAGTCTTCGATAGAGTATACAAATCTACAGAATGAGAGAAGAAGGCGTGTACACCAACGTATATTTAAAATCAATTTCTAAATTACTCGCAGCTCGCCTGGTGCTGAAATAAACTGAAAATTGCGGAATAATTTTATAATCTATAGCGGCAGATCCGTACAAACTATCATATTGAATATGACGCTAATGATGTTCATGAAATGCCTCAAATTGGCAACAAATTGCACATATTTCAATGGGCAAATCCAACCAGAGAAGTCAGACAGAGAGACCGAGAGAAAGCGAGAGAAGGGAATTGCAGATAGATCATTTTTGGGCGTACTTAGGAGCTTATAATTAGCGCAAAAACAGAGAGGTGTGTTCGTCAAATAGATGCGCATCACTAATAGACCCTATACATGTACCTAAACATATACATACATATAATATATGCGCGCATGTATATAATGTTTGTGTCTCCTGGACGCCTACGTAAATTCTGTACACTTAATCCCTGTGATATATATTATTTTGATTAAATCAAAAAATATATATGTACATAATACATGTCTGTTCTTAGTGGTTGGCTAAGCGTCGTGTGCCGATGGCCACAAAAAATTGCTGTCTCGGCCTCTTGATCAGCTGCCAAGAGTGGCTGCTAATTTATTTGAACGATATTTGAATTTGTTTAACAGATTTCCCCTTACCCGCTCAGAGAGGTGCTATTTCGTTTACTTACCGAAATCTGATAGATTGACTTTGTCCAAGAAGGGGTCGGCCCGGGGTAACTGCAAAGAAAGAGAAAAATATAAATTACGTTACGTAATAAGACATTAACAGAATGATGTTGATTTCTCAAGGAGTAGAAGATTTGCATCCTATACGTAATACGACAAACATAGAAGCTAACATTATGTAAGCAATAACATACTTATGTTAAAAGAGCTTCAATTTGTATTACGCTAGTTCATGAAAATATAAAACTAGCTTACAATACGTAACAATATGTTACAGATGAATAAACTTAGTTGGGAATCACAATACACAAAAAAGGAGTATTTTTCTTATGTTACGGTAGGCAAAAACCTACGTATGTTAGCGTAACGTTTACATCAAGTATCACATTAAATTAACGTATTATCATTATATTATATATAATTACAAACGTATTTACAATTTGAATCAACGTGCTTTACATAAGCAAAGTACTTTAAACAGTATATACACCAAAAAAGATAAAAGCTGTCAGATAAATTACACAAATAGAACATGTGTACTAAGTGAGTTAACAAATATTATTTGATTACACTGGTTGGGGGGCAGCCTCCAGTATCATTCCCATTTATATTTGGGTCAAGCAATGATTGGCACGTTTTCAAATTGTCTGATAACTGTAAAGCCTATGTGCGTGCACACCTATGTACATATGTAGAGCTATGTAGTATATGTGTACATATGTGCGTAGATATAAATGATAGCGAGCAGTTCTCAAAGACGTAATCGCTTAAGCACAAAATGGGCGACGCAAACGCAGATAAAAGAATGCAAACTTCAATTAAATATTTATGAACTACCTCCTCCCTCATTCTCTCTCTCTCCCTCTCTCTCTTTTCCACTCTCCAGAATTGTTGTGCGTTCTGTGTGCATAAACTTTCGCATATAGTATATAAAATAATAGTTTCATTTAAAATTAGCATTGAAATGTGCAATTGTGGAACAAGCTGCGTTCGTAAGTGCCATAGGCACACAGGCATTTGAACAGTTTGCAATCTCTGTAAACAATTATACAGTGAGTGAGTGAGTGAGTGAGAGGGAGAGAAAGAGAGAGAGAGAGCTTATTGCGCTCTCGTTTCTCAACAAGCTCTCAGCTGCTAAAAATTACCAAATGCGACAGACGCGTCAAGGCAATTAAATCGACACTGAGCGCCAGCAAAGGCTGTTAGGCAAAATAAGGTGAATGCAAGATAAAAATGCCTAAAAATGCAATAACAAAGCAGCAAAAGCAAAATGCTCGAAAGCTTAGCTGTCAATCATATCCCAGTCCCTCGCTCTTGCTCTCACTCTCTCAACTTACGCTAATTTTTCGCCCTGACTGCAATTGTTGTTGCTGCTGTCGCTTCCATTGCTCGATCTGCTCAATGCTGTAGTCGCTGCGTCGCCGCAGCAACAGGCACTGATGCACCGGAGCGGGTGACGAATGGCGGGGCGAATTGTGGGTGCTTTGGCTGCTGCTGCGTCGCTGATAGACAAGCGATTGCTGCAGTCCAGTTGCAGACAGTTCACTGTGTGCAGCTGCCGGTGAATGACCTGCGGATAGACGCTTGCCCGGCACTAAGCCATTTGCAATGCTGTTGCTATTGTTGTTGCGCTGCTGTTGCTGCGACAGCGGCTGCAGCGGTTGTTGCTGTTGTTGTAGTTGTTGGTTATTGTTGTGGTTTATTGTTGCCTTGCGACGGAGCAGAACTGCCGGCATTGCAGCCGACAGAGTCGCTGAAAGCTTTTTGCCATCTTTTTGTTTGACTTTTGTTTTGGCATTGTTGTTGTTGTTGCTATTGCCGCTGCTGGAGCTGATGTTGTCATCGCGTCTGCTTACGTGCTGCGATTGACGTTGACCGTCCATAATATCTGTGAGATTTGCGCTATTTAGCAGCTGATAGTTTGCACTGGCCGTGGGCCCGTTATTTGACAGCAGCGTGGGCAGATGACTGTAGCGCTTCTTTCTGTATAGCGGCGAATTGCTGAGAGAGCGCGCCTTGCGCGCAACCTTCGCATGCAAGCTGTCATAGCTGCCGCCAATGTTCTCGCCTTTTCTCTCTCTGCTGCTGCTGTTGTTGTTATTGCTGTCATTATCGGGCAGATTTGGGTCAAAGCGCACGCTTAATTTCCCATTATTACTGTTGTTTTTGTTGTGTGGTAATTTGGAAGCTGTCTGCTGTGACACACCTGCCGCAGTCGCTGCCGTTGTTGGTGCAGACGGCAGCACGCCAATGCGAGGCGTGCTCGACTCAAAGGCGGAATAGCGACGGCGATACATGTACAAATACACAAACACACGCGCACTTAAATATATTTGGTATTCACACACACACACACACACACACACGCACAAGCTCACGCATGCACTGATAAACGCTCTCGCTTGTAATGGAAACAATGCGTAGATGTTGGAAAATTCGCAAGCGACCGTTGCCTTTTCTGTTTGCTATTCTCGGTTCCGGGCACGTCTGCGCGCTCCCAAATGTAAACGTAAACTGGTTAACAGTTTGTTGAGCGTTGCTGCCATATGATCGTCACATATGTATGCATGTATATGTGTGCGTGTGTGAGTGCTAAAGCTTAAGCAAACACATATACGGCAAAGAGAGACCAATCTATGGCGTATCGAAGTTCAAACACTCTAAACAAAAGGTTTTCATGCCGTTGAATATTTATCAATATTTATATAGTTAGCGTTTGCTATTAGTTGGCTAATAAAGAGGTTTATAGAGTCAACTGCGTGTCGTTTAATCTATAATTAAATGTACCTAAATACTCAGCACTGAAAAGATTACCAGTTGCA